CAAAATAAGCTGAACTATCACGTTCTAATAACCATCACAGTCAATACACAACAGTAACATGATCCAGGGCATCTGTGGGCAGTGGGTGCATGCCCAGGCCAGCGCATCAGACATGCTGGTATTTACTGGCTGCTCTACTCCCGTCCCATGCAGAGAATGATAGCCGTCCCAACAGCTATACTGCCATCCCATGTGTGGATGTCCATCATCTTAAATAGAGCTCGCTCACCCTGGACTCCCCCTAAGAGCTCAAGAGTCCAGTTGTCCTATTATAGACTTGCCTAAGAGGACACTGAGTGGACTTTTGGAAATGGTGAGACAGGGTTGCTAAGGATAGAGACCCGTCTGCCCTCTCCTTATGACCTTTCTCACCTCCCGGTTCACATTAGCAGATGGTAAAAGGGAAGCGCGCTCCAGATGCGTACAGTGCTCTGAATGCTGACACTGAGACTCACACTTTAAATGTGATTAGGGAGGAGGGACTTTCCCCATATGAGCACATGGACCATGCACTGGGATGACAAAACAGAAGCGGCTGTCTGTGTGTGTGTGTGCATGCACTTGAGCTGATGCAGATTTTCTCTATGAAGCATAGTTTTTCCAATAATTCACCTACTTTTGCTAATTATTCCTAGGTTTTTAGACTGATCAGAACCAAACCAGTGCAGAAATATTACCTGGACAATGAACATAAATAACTGTAGAAAAAAAAGTTTACATTTGGATTTCCGCACAAAAGTGTACACAAAATATTGGGGGGATTTGAGTGTATTAGCTTATACAGTTGAAGTCAGAATTATTAGCCCCCTTCGATTTTTTTTTTTTATTTCTTTTTTTTTTTTTAAATATTTCCAAAATGATGTTTAACAGTGCAAGGAAATTTTCACAGTATGTCTGATAATATTTTTTCTTCTGGAGAAAGTCTTATTTGTTTTATTTTGGCTAGTAGAAAAGGAGTTTTACATTTAAAAAAAAAACATTTTAAGGTCAATATTATTAGCCCCTTTAAGCTAATTTTTTTAATAGTCTACAGAACAAACCATCGTTATACAATAGCTTGCCTAATTACCCTAACCTGCCTAGTTACCCTAATTACCTAGTTAAGCCTTTAAATGTCACTAAGCTGAATACTAGTGTCTTCAGCTAGTGACAAAGTGACAAAGATAAAATAAATCAGTTATTAGAAATGAGTTATTAACACTATTATGATTAGAAATGTGTTAAAGAAATCTGCTCTTTGTTAAACAGAAATTGGGGGAAAAAATAAACAGGGGGGCGAATAATTCTGACTTCAACTGTATATTTGCTCTCAATATTTGTATTTTTATTCATTTTTTGATGATTTTGTGTAATCTGCTTTCTACTTGTTGCACAGTGGTCCTCACTTGGCTTGTGTCATATCAAAAAATGCTGAGATCGCATGCATTTACTTTTTTTAAGACATATAGTAGGTAGATCTACTGTGCATCCGGAAAGTATTCTTAGCGCTTCACTTTTTCCACATTTTTTTATGATACAGCCTTATTCCAAAATGGACTAAATTGATTTATTTCCTCAACATTCTACACACAACACCCCATAATGACAATGTGAAAGTTTTTGAAATTGTTGTAAATGTATTAAAAACAAAAAAGCTGGAAATCAGATGTACATCAGTATTCACAGGCTTTGCTCAATACTTTGTTGATGCACCTTTGGCAGCGATTACAGCCTCAAGTCTTGTTGAATATGATGCCACAAGCTTGGCACACCTGTCCTTGGGAATTTTTGCCCATTCCTCTTTGCAGGACCTCTCAAGCTCTATCCGGTTGGATGGGAAGCGCCTGTACAGCCATTTTCAGATCTCTCCAGAGATGTTCAAGAGGATTTAGGTCTGGGCTCTGGCTGGGCCACTCAACGACATTCACAGAGTTGTTGTGAAGCCACTCTATTGATATTTTGGCGGTGTGCTTTGGGTCATTGTCCTGCTGGAAGATGAACCGTCGCCCCAGTCTGAGGTCAAGAGCACTCTGAAGCAGGTTTTCATTCAGGATGTCTCTGTACATTGCTGCATTCATCTTTCCCTCTATCCTGACTAGTCTTCCAGTTCCTGCTGCTGAAACACATCCCCACAGCATGATGCTGCCACCACCATGCTTCACTGTAGGGAAGGTATTAGCCTGGTGATGAGCGCTGCCTGCTCAAACACAACTCCAAAGAGCTGTGAATACTGATGTACATCTGATTCTATAGCTTTTTTATTTTTAATAAATTTTTAACAATTTCAAAAACTCTTTTTTTCACATTGTCTTTATAGGGGATTGTGTGTAGAATGTTGAGGAATACAATTTATTTGGTCTATTTTGGATTAAGGCTGTAACATTAAAATGTGGAAAAAGTGAAGCGCTATCAATACTTTCCTGATGCACTGTACACAGTTGAACCTTTATTTCTGAGACTTTATAATGCAGGCAATGTAACAGATTTTGTTTTGTAAAGCACTATCAATATTCTTGAGAGTCTGGCCGAGTACAGTGGACAAACAGGTGTTGCTCTGACATGTGACAGATAAGATGAGATACGAAAGGTGTGCCAGAAAGAAAGGCAGGCCATTACTGTATGAAATACTGGCAGCTTCAAATAGAGCCACTAAAATAACTCTGATACCGTGTAGGTGTAAAGAGCACAGCCAAATTTATCAAATTACATAATGACGAATTAAGGACAGCAACAAACTGCATGCATGTTCAGTAATAAATGTCATTTTCAGTTGTGAATCTAGCAAGCGCTCTGTACTGTTTACTCTAACCATTTTCACAGCGGAATGAACCACCAACAAATCCAGCATTTGTTTTACACAGCGGATGCCCTTCGATTCACAACCCAGTACTGGGAAACACCCATACGCACTCACATTCACAGCAAGGTTATGATAGTTTTGGATTTTTCATTAGTTTTAGTTTTTATTTCGCTGAATTTTTTTGTTTTAATTAGTTTTAGATGGAGATTTACTAATTATTATTAGCTTCTATATTTTTAAATTGTTTAGTTTTAGTTTAGTTTTTATTAGTTTCAGCATTAGTATTAGTTTTATGTTTTTGTTTGTTGTTTTTTATTTTGTATATTGTTAGCTTGTTAGGTGCAAGATTCAAAACCCTCAGATTAAATATTGAATAATAAAAACCAAAGATGGGCAACACAGTTGCGCAGTAGGTAGTGCTGTCGCCTCACAGCAAGAAGGTCGCTGGTTCGGGCTCGGCTGGGTCAGCTGGTGTTTCTGTGTGGATAAGTTGGCAGTTCATTGGCGACCCCTGATTAATAAAGGGACTAAGCCGAAAAGAAAATGAATGAATGAAAAACCAAAGATAGGCTACATTATTTTGACAAAAGAACACTACCATCTACCACTACCATCCACCCATCCTCAAACACAACAGCCCACAAGATAGCAGCCTTACTCAGGGAAACTGGAGCACCCAGAGGAAACCCACGGGGAGAGCATGCAAACTCCACACAGAAATACCAACTGACCCAGCCGGCCAGAGGAACATTTTTAAAGGTCTAGTGAAATTAAAATGTTTTTTTAGATGTCAGTATCAGTATATCAGTCTTTAAGGATATCTATAAGCTAGTGTGGTACAAAACAATGACAACAATAGCTCCTTTTACACATGCACACCTTTCCGGGAAATTACCGGCAATATACCGGAAAGGTGCGTATGTGTGAACAGACCCTTTTTGAAAATACCGGTAAATTCGTTCTGGCTATTTTCCGGAAGGAGAAGTTGTAGATTCCGGTAATTTGCCGGAATGCTGCGCTGTGTGAACGCAGAAGGAAGATTGTCGGAAAGAGCGCGTGCACGTCTAGAACGTGCTGACGTGAGACGTCTGCTTTGGCCAGTCAGAACAGACAGACTCATTCACGTCCGCGCGGTTTATGAGAATAAAAGCCTTTGAATATTTTACCAGACACATTTAGCTGCTAGATGTTTGTCAGATAACGATAATTTGTTCATCTTAATGCCAACCGTGTAAATAATTATCGATAAGATGCTTATGATAAGCCATTGTTTGTTTACCTTTAAGCTTTGCATGTGCCCGTGAAACAGCCCATGAGCACACACACATTTCCTGTACATCTCGACATGCGAAATTGTTTCTCTATATTTCATCGGAGTTGTTCACAATACTGATCCATCCACAGAGTTTGTGATGTAGTCAAATGTTTACAAACACAAGCGCAGCCGTTTAGAGCTCATTTCTGGTTAATGATGTCAGAATTTACCGCTATTTTGGAATGGATGTGTGAATGCTCTTTTCCAGAAAAATTCCGTAACGTCCTCGCCTGTGTGAACAGCAATTTTTTGAATTTACCGGTAAAGTTGTTCCGTAAATTTTCCCGATATTTACCGATATTTGTGCTGCCCATTATTTTCCCGATATTTACCGATATCACTGTGTGAAAGAGGCTAATGACGCTTTGAGGAGATATTAAACTGATATCAACATGTAAAGCTTGTAGTTTGTCACTTCCGCCTAAATGGATCAACTTTGTTTCACGTCACGGGACATTTAAAAGGTGTTTTCTTCTTTCAGATCAAACCAACGTACGAACCCGCATAGACCCAGGATTCTCACTGAAATCAGTCAAGTTTGGTGAAAGAGAAGTCATGGTTTGGGGTTACATTCAGTATGGGATATGCAAGAGATCTGCTAAATGTATGGCAATGTCAACAGCCTGAGGTATCAAGACATTTGTGCTGCCCATTATTTTCCCGATATTTACCGATATCACTGTGTGAAAGAGGCTAATGACGCTTTGAGGAGATATTAAACTGATATCAACATGTAAAGCTTGTAGTTTGTCACTTCCGCCTAAATGGATCAACTTTGTTTCACGTCACGGGACATTTAAAAGGTGTTTTCTTCTTTCAGATCAAACCAACTAGCAGTACTAGATAGACGCAAGCAGGATCTGCTTAACAACTGTAGGCAGTCTGTCACGGTAATCAGACTCCATTAGCCACTCATCCTACACTTTGAGTTTGGTGACACTGCTGTGGGTGATGCAAGGTGCTATATTTGCCTGGCCTGTTTGCGAGACAAATGACTCCCACTCAAGCCCAGCCGCCACACAACAACATCCCATGCGTCCAGAGCTGCTGTGTTCATGTGAAATATTGCGGAACGCTGGAGCTATAGACTCTGCTATGGCACTCAAGCTAGCGGTACCAAAATAGCAGACGACTATTTCTATTTCATCTGTCGCCCACTCGACACCAAACAGTCGCTCAGATATGTGCTCTCGCTAACTCCTTCCTGCGTTACAGCTCTGGCCTTGCCGGCAACTATTTCGGTAGGGTGTGTGCTCGGCTCCTGCTCCTCCAGTCTTTTCAAGAGCTCGCTTGAATATGGATTTCTACCTGGTCGTGTTCAGAGAAGGACATTTTGCTATGGAGTAACACAAACATCTGACTTCACTCGGTGTGATCCGTACCATTTTTGATGTCTTTGATGAACGGACTTTCCAAAGGATGAAATACAGAAGCACTATAAAAGGTAAGGACTCACTTTTAACGTGGCTCAGTGCATGTAATACACTGTCCAAGTGTAAATCATTTCCCTTCCAATATTAAAAGAAGTGAAGATCTGCTCACGTTATTTTATAATAAACAGCATATTATTTTGAAGATCTTTCCTTGAGGTTAGTCAGGACTTTATCACTGTACTGTAGATCTTCATTTCACATAAATAAAGTAGCAGATGTGGGGAAACTACCCAGACTGCAAGTTGATACAGAATTATGGGCGGTGGAAAAATGTCATGCTGTCCAAGTCTTCTTGGCCACTTAGTGCATGCCTTTACATGCTTATAAATACATCCTGAGATTTGTCCTTGGATGGCCAGCATTTGAGCTCTCTGAGATAAAATTTCAAGACAAAATGAATGTATTAATGGTGCACACCACCTGACAAAAGTCTTGTAGTCAATCCCAGTTGTAAGAGCGACGAACAATACCTTGATTTCTAGTTGATCATTTGGAAAAGTGGCAGATCATCTGTTGAACTGCATCCCGATCATCACACATACGAACCCGCATGTGAAAGAGAAGTCATGGTTTGGGGTTACATTCAGTATGGGATGTGCAAGAGATCTGCTAAATGTATGGCAATGTCAACAGCCTGAGGTATCAAGACATTTGTGCTGCCCAGTACACTACAAACCACAGGAGAGGGACAATTCTAGAGCAGGATAGCGCTCCTGCTCATACTTCAGCCTCCACATCAAAGCTCCTGAAAGCAAAGATGGTCAAGATGCTCCAGGATTGGCCAGCTCAGTCACCAGACATGAACATTATTGAGCATGTCTGAGGTAAGATGAAGGAGGAGGCGTTGACGATGAATCCAAAGATTCTGAGCAAAGACTGTCCTAATTAAATCATTCAAAATCAAAACATGATCATATTTTATTGTGGTCAAATAAGTGTAATCTAGAGGCCTTTCATAGAAGCCACTTCTGATACCAAATGATCAACTAGAAGTTAACTTATTAATTGTTGTTTTTAAAACTTGTATAGGCCACAAGAGTTTTGTCAGGTAGTGTATTGTATGCACATCTCAATTCAATGACAGATGTAAGCAGTGATGAGTGCTGGTAAATGGATTCGGGTCAGAGGACAAATATGGGTTAATGAGTTATTCCCGGATCAGCCACACAGTGCGGCAGCTGCAGTGAAATGACTGAATGATGACTAATTTGTGTTCTCTGGAGTGCAAATAATTCCAAGTATAAATCCCGGGTTAATTTGGAAGTGCTTAACAACAATTGTGGCCTTTCAGGTATAAAAGTATTCAGTCACACTTTATTTTGATGGTCCGTTTGTTGAATTACGTTGCATTGCATCTACATGCCAACTAATTCTCATTAGATTATAAGTAGACTGTTAGGGTTAGGGTTAGTGTAAGTTGACATGTACTCGCAAATAGTGATGGGAAGTTCAGATCATTTTACTGACTTGAATCTTTGAGTCTCGTTCATCAAGATGAACGAATCTTTTTTCGAGTCATTTCGCTCATTTGGTTCAATTTGCCAAAATATTATTAAAATGTTTCTGAATTGCTTCCAAACACATCTACAACTAGCTTAAAAGGTTGATCACACGACAAATAAGTCATAAATAGATTATTATGAAGGAAAAAATAATAATAATTCAATGTTGACCTGCTCTTTTGTCTATGAAGGCATTTTTATCTCTTCACCTCTTCATGTACTCAAATGTCAGGGGTTCATTCACGTAACACTGACAGTCACATATAATCTTAATCAATGCACAGTCTAAGCCGATAGGAGCCATGATCATTCGTTTATCATGTGACAGAATGACTCAAACCCGAGGAATCGAGAGATGAACGGATCAATTCTTTTTTTCCGGCTCTAAACGCATATGATTGGCCCGTGATGAACGAGTGACTCAGACCCGATAGAGGACTCGAGAGATGAACGGATTAATTCTTTTTCCGGCTCTAAACGCATATGGTTGGCTTTTGCCAATGTGATGAAGACTTGAAATTAACGATATCAACTGCACAAATGTGCGCACGCGCAGATGAACGAATCACTCCCTGAGAGGACTCGTAGTTTCCGAGTCATATTGAAGATTCGTTCAAAACGAACGAATCATTTATGAGCGACCCATCACTACTTGCAAAGTTTCTATAGTCAGTGAAATGTCTGTTGAAGGAGCAGTATCAGCAGATATTAAGCAGACAGTCTACTAATACTCAAATGGACCGATAAAATAAAGTGTTACCAAGTATTTCTTTTAAAAAAAGTAGATCGCAGTGTTCGCAGTAAAAAAAATCCATGCATAGTTTGAAAATGTAATTGTTTTACTAAACGTTTGCCAAGGGTTATGCAGGTGGCCTGTGCATGTGAAAGGCCAGCAAGACATCTGCCTTCTTCTAAAAATAGTTAGTGTTTGGCATGGTGTGTCTTTCTTTACTGTACATAGACACAGGCTGGGTTACCAACCACCCAGGAGGTCAAAGCAATGTATTTTAAGGTTTTAATATACAGTTGATGTCAAAATTATTAACCCATTTTTTTTCCAAGTATTTCCTAAATTGCGTTTAACAGAGCAAGGAATTTTTCACAGTATTTCCTATTATATTTTTTCTTCTGAAGAAAGTCTTATTTGTTTTATTTTGGGTAGAATAAAAGCAGTAAAAAAGGTCAGTATTATTAGCCCCTTGATGCTAGGGTGTTCCCCAACTAAAAGTTGGCAGATCAATTGGTGCCAGGCTGCACAAGAAATCATTAATTATTTTTGTTGTATTTATTATCTGAATCTGAATAATCTGTTATGTTGAAAAGTCTTTTATTTTGAAAAATGACCATACTCTCTTGATCAGTTGAGCCGCCAAATTTAACCCACAAGCAGCAAAACGCGTAAAAAACAGACATCTTTAAAAAAAGTTTCTTTGCTAAGGGGAAAAGGTCCTGTAAAGGACCCACGAACTGCCAAAAATTAGATCTTCTACCCATTCGTCAACAAATCAGGTGAATCCCCTATGTCTGTGCAAGAACAACAACTGATGGAGATCGCAAATGACGGCGGCCTTTTAAGGGCCTTTTGCGCATCACGTTTTTTCTAGAGTTTGCGCAAGTTCGTTATTTCCAATAGAGGTGTGCGGCTTGCGCGTGCAATCAGCGTGATCCACTCGCGCCTTCCAGAGGCACCCAATTAAATGAATCCCGTGATCACAGCACGAGTCACGTGACAAGAATTGACTGAGCTTCAGCTTGTATGGAATATACACATTTTGGTCGACTAATTATCTCAGATAAACACAGAACACCCAACCAAATGCTTGTCATCCTCTGAGAAAACGGTTGATGTGAAGCGTTGACTGTTCTGCGGTGATATAAAGGTTGAAGACCACTGGTCTACAGAACAAACCACTGCTATACAATGACATGTCTGATTACCCTAACTTGCTTAATTAACCTAGCTAAGCCTTTAAATGTCACTTTAAGCTGAATACTAGTGTTTAAAAAAATATCTAGTGAAATATTATTTACTGTCATCATGGCAAAGATAAAAGAATTAAAGGTGCAGTAGGTGATCTTTCACAATGCTAACAGCTTAGCATACATCTCTGAATCACAGTCCCTCCCCTGCCATCTAGAGCCACGCCTCCTGAAACAGGAGCATCGCAAAACAGTCCTCTCTCGTGTTAAAAGCGACTAGTGCTTGTTTACTTGCATGGTAAATAATATAGGGAGAGACTAGGCGGAATAGCGCTATGTACTTGTGTTTTGTTGTTAAACTAATTAAAATCTACATTATCGATGCTGTAAAAGGTCCCTGTGACTGAAAATAGTCTTATCAATCTTTTATCGGAAGATTTTAGTGGCTGAACAACACTTCTGTGAAGATATAACCCGTTTGTAACAACAACATCACATACGTTGCATGAAGCAAAAATAGTTTTAAAACAAAACATTACCTTTCTAAGAGAAATCCTTCAGTCATTGTTTCATCCTTTCTCCAGCGTGCAAAGGTAACTCCAATGTTGATTCAGGTTTTTTAAGCAGGTTTTTACTGATCGCGCACGCCCTCTCTCTTGAACGCGCGGCACCAACAGCGGTTGGCGGAGCTGCGTACAAACGGCTGCGCAGTTGTTCAAATCTGCATTCGCTGACAGACAGTCTGACCTGCTAATCGGAATTATGAGAGATGTCGGTCCGACTCTATTTAATTGGATGAACATTTTTTAGTTTTATGCCTTACCCAAAATATAAAAATACATATAAATACATTTAGATCATTTACTGTAATTATTACTCTTAGACTGTGAAGAGACTTTCAACCAGCACAACAAAACATGCTTCAGAAGACAATCACCTACTGCACCTTTAACTTATTAGAAATGAGTTATTAAAACTGTTATGTTTAGAAATGTGTTGAATAAGTCTTCTTTCTGTTAAACAGAAATTAGGAAAAAAATTATACAGGGGCTAATAGTTCTGACTTCAACTGTATTAGTTAGTAGTCTCCAAATATGCTTTTTAAATGTCTTTGGGCGAAACTGAAACATCTTTTTTTTTTCTTTGCAGGGAAATCATAATGTAATCTGCAATCTGTAGAGATGACAAAGAAAGAAGAGTCAAGCCGGGTCAGTTCTGCGTCAGACTGAAGGACTGGGCATACACATTCATGATGAGCAACCAGGAGAAGCGCCACAGGACGAGCATGCAGCACCTCCGCTATCTTAATAGCTTTATGGATGAAATAGACCGCGAGGTCATGAGCCTGACTGATCGAGCTTTTAAGAGTCTATGCATTGGAGATGAAGCAATCTACAATGACTCAGAGTTTTCCCCCTCTCCAGTCAGCTGCCGCAAGCCAAAGGTGGAGGATGTCTCAAAAAAGACACAGGAGAGCACACTTTGTGCTGTCAGAAAACTTCATTCTCATCCAATTAATGGAGCAATTGATCCGTTGAGTAGGCCAAGTAAGTCATCTAAAGACTCTTCACTTTTTGCAGTGTTTGCTGCCAAAAAGAATGGCGAGAGTGCAAAGATGACAAACGGTGACTCGTGGGACAAATCTGCTCTACTCAGCATCCAAAGGGAGCTCTCGGAGTTTTCTTCAGACTATCACAGTTTAACAGCAGAGCACCTTTCGCAAGCCAAAAATCATCTCAAATCAGATGAAAAAGGCTCGGCCGAAAAATCAGGCAAGAATGAACTGATACCTTCGGGAAAATCCTCGAAGAGCAAGCACCACAAAAACAACAAACTGAGAAAACTCAATTATATAAACTTTTTCCTCCACAGTGAGTTCAGCCCATTCTTATCATGGAGGGATTTTAATAAATTCTCCATTGGGCCAGAGCACATTTCAGAGATTATGTTAAACGACAGATCACCTGAATGGTATGATTCTCCTCTTTACAAGGAATTAACTGCAGCGCATGAACACTATAAACTAAGTCTCCCCACATCAGTGGAAAAGAGTCCTGAACAAAAAGAGACTCATTCACCTAAACCTGTGAAATCTGCAGCCCCTACTGTACCCCCAAAACCTGACAAAGAGTCCGAGCACATCCAGCGTAGTATTCCTACAAAGGTGCCTCCACTTGGAACTGAACAGAGATGTAATTCGGAAAGGGCAGAACCTTGTGCTCCATGGCGAAAAAGCAGAAGCAGAGCCAAAAGTGCTGCTCCTGTGGGGCACTCCATCATAAACTCCCCAGTCTGCGAGAGGAAACATGCTGGAGAAAGGAGTGCACAGACATTTAAAAAAGATGTGAAGACAGTAGAGGACCAGGCATCTGCTAGTTCAACTCCTTTCAGCATTTCACAGCTATTGACACCAGTGATACCCTCCAGACATGGAACAGGAACCTCAGAGATACTGCAAACTGTGCTTTCACCCACAGCCCTGGAGATCCCAGCACTCCCCGAGAGAGATCTGCATCCATCACCTGAGATTAAAAGGGAAGTCTACAAATCTATAGCATCCAGCTTGTTGTTTAATCTCAAGGACAACAGAAAAAGGGTTAAGACAATGTACAGCCCACCAAAGTTTAAAGGTTTGGATGCGGCAAATCAAAGTAAAGAGTCTCCCCAACTTGAAGTGTCAAAAGACGAGCTTGAAATACCTGAGGTTTCAGATGCAAAAACGATTTCACCTGCTCGTCAGAACCCTATCATATCCCCATTGAGTCCCTTGTTGGAAAATGCCGACACTCAAACTTGTTCTCCTGCAAGTGGCAGAGTACCAGATGACTATTTGGGATTGAGTCTGCTTCAGTCTGGAAAAGTCAAATCAAACCGGAGCCCTGCAGCTAACAAGGCAACATACCCCTCATTACAACTTTACCAAAAATCGAGTCCCGGGGAGATTAATGTTAGAGCGTCTGCTCAAACTGTGGTCGACACTTGCTCTCAGGTTTACAAAGACAAAGCCACTAAAGATCATGACACAGAGGGCAATTATCCCAGTGAATTAGAGCTCCAAAGTAAAAATATCCCTGTAGAGTCAAGACTAAATGCCAAGAAACTCACTGTGGGTTTAAATAGCGAAAGTAATACCGAAAACAAATCTGGAAAAAGTCCAAATGTAAGTTTAGCAAATACGGAAAGACAGATCATTAATGAGAGTCAAATTAAGGACAGGTTGAAAGCTACAGAAATTGTCAGTGCACAGAAAAGCCCTGTCAAAGAAAAGGAACTGAACAGAAAAGAGGCAGGGGCAAAGCATGTCTTTTCTGCACGGCAGAATAACTATATTAAAAGTCAGAGATTTGTAAGTACAGATGATGATAATGATCAAAATGGGGATAGTTCTAATCTAGAAAAAGGGTTGTTAACTGTAAAGGATAATAAAAATGGTGATGACGGACGGCCCAGGCATTTAAGGAATGCAAAAACAAAAGGTGCAAGACAAAAGCAAAATGAAAGCATGCATCGAGAAAAAGTACTAGTTCAAACAACAGTAGATGCACCACTGCTGATAGAAAGTGTTCATGTAAGAGGAGAAGCTACCACAGATCAGAGCAATATTACATCAAACAGTGGTTTGGGAGAACAAAAAGAGAAAATAGGAAACCCTGAAACAATGAAAGGAAACACTTTTGCAAAGAGAGCACTGTTTGCATCAATGGAACAAGGGTCTAAAAAGACAAATGCACCTTTAAAGAAAGATAATGCTGTCATTGATAAGTATGACCTGGCCAAAATGGCTCTAGAGGAAGTAATTGCTGAACGAGAACAAAGGAAGTTATGTAAGGCTGTCTCGAATGTAGAAGCTTCAATCACTGATAGAAAAGGAGCTGGGTGTAAAGAGCCTCAAGATGGTATTGAGTTACCTGTCAAGACAGAAAAAGAGCTACCTTGTATATTCCTGCTGAATGAGAGGGTAAAGGGTACAAAAGAAGGCAAAAGTCAGAATACTGTATCTGCTAATAAAACAAATTGGCAGACTGTTAAAACTATGCCAGGAGACATGGCCAAACATGGTGAAAGTCATGTGTCTGAGGTAAAATTAGCCAGGCCCTGTAAGCAGGAAGAATCTTTTGGGCAGTGTCAGCATTCAGAACCTATAAAATATAATGAGACAGACAGGTTGTGCCTTGTCAGTAAAGAAAGCAACACAGAGCATATCAGCAAGGGTGACAACATTTGCCAAAAGAAAGAGTTGATTAATCAAAATAGAAGTGATTTAAAGAAAGCTGCACAAGTAAGTGATCATTTGGGAAATAATGGAATTAATTTTGTGGCACAGTGTGAGGAAGAGTTGGGTGTTGACAAAAAAGACAAACCTGACATACCCCCAAGAAGAGGTAGAAGTAATTCTCAGAGTAACGAATGCGTTGGTGAAAAGATTGAAAGTAAGTTAGACTTTAAAGAAGGTGATGCTTCAGTCAAAACCGAGGAAATGAAAAGTAGAGAAGCTAGTAAAGTTCAGTCAAGTCAATCAAAGAATCGAGGCCCAGTGAAAGGAAATGTCACATCTCTGAAAGAGAAATATGACAAAGAAAGTAAGATGAAGGTTGTCGAGAAAGATCTGTCTGTTGAAGGAACATGTTCTGAAAAGTCTATGGGAGCTGATGGTGATAAGGCTTCAAAAGACAAAATGAGACACAAATGTGTTCCACCAAAACTCACAGTCAGTGATCCTGAAAGTGGGACTTACTCCATTATATACAAGGAGATGGATTCAGAGAATGAAAGAATGTCTACCAACTTTTCAAGAGAAAAAGGCAAGGAACATTCTGGTTCACAAAGGAAACAAAACGTCACCCAAAAGGATATACATGACAACATAAATGAAGAACTGCAAGATGACAAGGTAAAAGTGAATAAAAAGGAAGAGGACGCTGTACATCTGAAGGAGTCGGAGGACAAACAGAACAAATCCAAGGCTCCTTCTAAAAGCTACGTCAAAGACTTCCTAAATGGACTTCTAGGTCTTTCAAGCTCAGAAAAGCTCAAAACTGTCAGTGACCATGAGGAAGAACTCTCTGAAACATTGTCTTCAGAGTCTTTCAAAACCGATAAAGACAGAAAGGACAGTATAACAGTTTATGATATCCTCGGAAAACGTTACTCCGTAACATCACTAAATGGTAAACCAACACATCACAGCAGTCGGTCTTCAAATTCAAGTGAATTCTCTCTATTACATGAATTAGAACCAGGAGCACAACCTGAAGAGTTTTCAAGGAAAACCGACAACATGAAAGAAAAGATAGATGGAAAGGTGAAAGAGGATATCCAGGAACCAACAATGGATTCCTGCTCTTTGAGCAATCATGAAAGTGAATCAGATTTCTCTGACAGGGTAGTTTCTCCACCAAGCGATATGGACAAGAGGGGATGGGTACAAAGCTTGATTGAGTCAGCCAGAGACTTAACACAGATCTCACACAGTCATGCCTCCTCCGGGGATCAACAAGTAATAGGTCAACAGCTTTCTATGAAAGACCAATTGAATGGATCTGAGATTGATGAGGAAGATCTGGATCTCTTCAAGGACCGTATCCATTCTCCAGTTCCTGTACATGGTATACCAGTCAAGAGCCCCCCACCAAACCAGCCAGCTATGCATTTCTTGTCCCTTCCAGCAACCGTAAAACAGAGAAAGTTGTCAGCTGGAAGTGCCTCAGTTTCTGAAGATGAGGAACAGCGCTCTGCTGTTAGCACTTTATCTGAGGGCCTGGATGGATATGAAACAAGTGGAGGGGATCTGATGGAGGAAAACACTTCTAGTACTGCACCAACTGAGGATGCGGAGGGACCCAGCGAGAGATCCGGTTCAGCTTGCAGTGGAAACGGCCAGAACAAGCCACCTGTTGTACCACCAAAAACCGAGAAAGCTCTACGCCGAGCCATGAAGCTCACCACAAGGAGGATACAAAAAGCTGAAGCCAAAAGCAAATCTGAGCGTAAAGGCCGGAGCGGTGACAAAACTGTCAAGGCTGAGAGGAGGCACCATGGCACTGACAAAGTACATGAGCACAGGTCCCTCAGCAGTGACAGGATCAGCAGCAAACACAGTGAGCATCTCAATCACACATTTGAACCTAAATCTCAAAGAAACGAGAAGCATGCTAGACACCATGATGATCCAAATAGCCAGAGCAGTGAGGACAATGATCCTAGCAAGAAACTGCACCATGCAACTAAAGATGAAGTCAAACAAACCAGTCAGACTGGTGACTCAAAGAGTCATAACCTTGAAAAACAGCAACAATGCACATCAAACCATGGGGATCATTTGGAAAATGGCAATGTCACTAATGATAGTGACAGACTGGGTAGAAGGACTGAGAAATACTTGCCCAAAAAACTAGAGCGTAGGACGCAAAGTCTGGACAGATTTTTAAGGGATAAACACGAAAGTGTGTCAAGTAGCACTGGGAAAACTGCTGGTGTCAATTCTGAGTTTTCGACAGAGATATCCCAGTTGTCCACTCCAAAGGCATCACCTTTGCACCACAACAGCATTGAACATGCTTATGCACCTGCCAATAACCTTGTAACCCAGTCCTTCCCAGTCACCCAGAGGAAGCTCTTACAAGACCCTGATTCGGGACAGTACTTTTTGGTGGATATGCCAGTGCAGGTTAAAACGAAAACGTTCTTTGACCCAGAAACAAAGACTTACGTGCAACTGCCAGTTCAGTCTCCTGAGCGACAAGCTCCGCCTTTGGAGGTTATGAACACACCATCACTTATGGTGTTTCATGGCTTTGTTCCAGTGCCTGTGCCATCCCAGAAGTCTGTTGTCAGGACTCAAGGGTCTGTGATTCCTCCTGATGATCAGGAAGGCTTTGATACAAACAGGAAACAGATGCAGGGGGACTTTTGTCCGATGCAAAACGAAGAGGTAAATCCTTACATTGAGCCTGTGTATATAGCACAAGAACACACACCTGAAGAGGAAATCGATAGCGTGAGATGACAACATCCAGACTGAGCCAGTCCATAGAGATTGACTGTGAATGAAATCAGGGATTTGTGTTGTTTGTAGATTAATACCGTCGGGTGGAAAGTGGAAAAGTGTTGTATGATGTTCTTTGTGTATGGTACAGTACACCTGATGAGGATTGTATATGATTATTTGAGTAAGGCAACATTCTGGTTCTACTGTTGAAAGCACTTGTCTATTTATAACAGGAAGTTGGAGTTTTCTGCCTTACCGAAAGTAGTTTTGCTCTCTTGAGAGGATTTTTGGCAAATTAATACATTTGTTTTGATACATCTTTTATTTGTCAATGCAGTATTTAGTCTGCATCAGATTAAAGTGATATGCACATACAGTAGGTGTTGTTTATGCTTAAAATTGTATGGATTTGGCATCACTGTTCGGGGTATATTTTTGGAATGATTTAGTACTTTTAAAGGGATTGTTGCTTCAGAAAGAACCATTCCAATAAAAGCATCATCAATAAGAAACTGCCTATTTATTTAATGCCGATATCTTTTTAATTCGTAGACCCTGTTTACACCTGGGCTGTTTCTCAATTCCATGAATGCAGAGAACGGACTTGTGTTCTTGTGGAGAGCGGTCTTGCCATTGTAACGGAGGCCAGCTAGTGTGTGCTGTGCAGGTAAACCTCACTCCTCTTACCTCTAATGGTGCTCTAGCGACAGACTCTAGAGGCCATGGTCTTTAGCCTCCTTGTTAGAGCAACTGACTCCCATGCGGAATGTCGCCAGTTCGATCCCAGCTCGGAGCGAGTTGGGCGGTGTAGGACCGGCGGGGTTACACCAGGTGTCCTTGGAAGAACGAACTCGGGAGACCACGAGAACAGAGAACGCGTCCTTTGAGAAATGAGATGCTGCGTTCTTCCTGATGCTCGCGTGACCGTCACAGGTTTTAAATGGAAAATTATTTAAACATTACAGCATTCATACAACAACTTATTGTCTTTCCCCTTTTTTAAAATATATACTCTGCATAAAAACATTATAAATTTACGTTGCACAACATAAAACAGATTTTAATACGAATGTCAGCAAACAAACACCCTTAATGTGTTTTTGCCTTTATTAAGATGTTCATGGTGATGTTTATATTCACTTTTCATTTAGGGAAACTCCTGAGGTAAATAAGTTAAATCTCTGTACTTTAATAATAAATCTAAATAAAATGCTGCGCTTCCCACCTCCAGTCGCAATGACTTCTGGGACTTCATGAGCAAAATCAATGCTCAAGTCTGCATTGGTGCGTCCTCAATATCAAGAACACATCCGGGAAGTTTCATGCGTCCTCTGTACTTGCGGTCTTGAGTGTTGGAACTAACCTTTGGCAGCTGATGATGATGTTACACGAGGACGCAAGACCGCTGAAGAACGCATATTGAGAAACAGCACTGGTATACAGGTGCATTCTTGTTGTGTAGCTAAATAGCGGTGTAAACAGTGACCAAAATGGTTTAAGCTTGTCCTCTTTTAAAATGTCATCAAAATGATTTGGACTGCTGCATTTTTGGATATTCTTACAGTATGCGGTTGAGTGTGTTCAAACAGCCACAACTGACCACCTACTGTTTGCCTGCTATTTTGGCGAGTGTACTTTCCAGACGAGATTTTACTTCAAATGTTTCCATTTGGTGTTTTTGTAAAGAAAAACAAGCGTTAACTTTCAATGGAAAAAAACAAAAGATGTTTACCTTGTCTATGTGCGACTCTACTGACCAAACCCTTAAAACTGTACACAACCAGAGCCCGAGGAAGCCAGACTTCAGATCTGCAGAACAAAGTCAAAAACTATTATCTAGTTTCAGATTATTCTGACAGACGTAGATAGGAAAAGATCATCTTGATAAGACACTCGACAGCGACAAACCACAACCACATGTTGTGTAGGGGAGGGGAGACTTTAAATAGGTTACACCATGAAAATACACCAGCACTGCAAAACTAAAATTTAAACAATGCTCCATAAAAACATCCATTTGAAAACTATATAGAATTTACTGTTTTTTTTTTTTTTGTCCATTCAAAGACATAAATGTTCAAAAATCATAGTCGAATGTCAAGTTCTACTTATTAATATTTAATTATAATAACATCTTGCTATAGTATAGGTTTTAGGTGTAGAACGCATAAAAAAGACGCACAATAATTCATTGGTTACTGGCAATTCTAATATTTATACTGTGTGTGTGTGTGTGTGTATATATATATATATATATATATATATATATATATATATATATATATATATATATATACACACACACACACACAC